AATTAGGATTAGGAGATGGCATTAAAATAGTATGAACTTAAGATGTTTGTTGAATTTGATAATTTTTACCTCTTCCCATCTGCATCTGGGATGTTAATGTAATTGTTGTAAAGAAATGTAGTACATTCAATTTTTAAAAAAAACATTGTAGTATTGAGTTTGTAGGATATTTCCTTCAATATTTAGTATTTTGTTCTCTTCTACAGTTACATTAAAATCAACATGCTGAAAGCTGTTTTTCCTTTTTAAATTCAGGGATCTCCTTTGTTGCCTTCATTATGTGGAACAGGAATTTTGTTCCAGAGATGTAAATTATGAAATATCGTTTTGGAGAAAAGTCTCAAGCCGTCCTGAATATAGTTTGCTCAGATTTATTTTAATGTTCACGCTCTTTGGAAAAAGAAGTCATCATTGTTCAATTCATAACTTAATGAGTAATTTTGTACAGTTTAGAAGAATGGTACTTCAGATAAACACTTTCAACTACTACTATTACTTGGGATAAGGATGAACAGGATAATGCAAACAGAAAATACCTATGTATAAAATACTTTGAAAGTGTCTTTTTAAAATTTTGCATTAATTGAACATTTTAAAAGTGACAACAGAACAAAAACAGATAGTAACAGGCAAATTGTTTACGTGAAGTTATTTGTGTTGTTATCCATCTAATTTCAACATTAAATGAATAATTTGTCACAATTCCAAATTTAGAAATCAGGATTTTTTTAATGTACATTTTAAACTAATATGTAGCAGTGGTTAAATTCCATTGACAAATTTTGGAATGTAGATTAAGAGTGGAGGAGGTAGTATAAATTTGGAAGTGGTAATTCAGATTTGTCCTTATCAATAGAAGTCTACAGTGCATAGTTGGACTGTAAAATGTACACCAGAATAAACCCATCCTAACCACACTCTGACTCAGTATATACCTGCAATTTCGCTGACATATGGTCCTATAGCTCCTTCAAAACTATTGGAGCAGCAGTAAGTAAAAATTGGAAAGATTTAAATCTGGAGTTTGCTATTATAGTGACCCATCGTAATTGATGTATTGACAATGGAGTTGATCTTGTAGAAACAATTGTAGGGGGCAAATGTCTCATGAGTACATTCTGGCATCTCACCTAGTTTTTTAGGACCCATGTTTGTAAGAACATTTTAGTCCCTTTTTCTGTTGTGAATTACCTTTCCATGTTTTTGTTAAAACAAAAATTCATTGGATAACATTAATTTTCATCTTGATTTGCATTGTTATATTTTTTATTGTAATCAGGAACTTACACTGTTTTTATTACAAGTTATATCTACCCAAGATAATCAGGATGTAAGGAAATTCTGAGATGTCAAATACCAAATAACTGTGGAACTTACATGAAACAGAAGGATTGAAGGTCTGGGAAAATGTTTGTGTAATCAAAATTGGAGTGTTTTCAGATGTCAAGATAAAATTTTCATTATGTAACCAAGTTTGTTTATATAGGTACCGGATATAATGCAATGTAGGCAAATTATATGACCATTCCCCAAAATCATATGACAGAAAATTGTTTTAGATTGATATGATGGATGATCAGTTGGCATAGACATTGAGTTTTAAGAAATAATATTCCTCTTTGTTACTTAGATGTAACCATATTTGATTTTATTGTGACTTTTATTATCCAGACATGATAAAAGCAATCTTTAATGTGAAATTCAAGCAACCAATGTATTTCTTCTCTACAAAATTTTCTATTCTGAAATATTTTCTTTAACATTCTTTAAAAATTGAAGGGTTGAGGTGAAAAACATGATAACCCACACAGAAATGCATTTTGCAGATATGAGATTTGATTTGATTTATTTAGTCAAAGCACAGTAAAAGCAAGTGATCAATTTGGTTTGAGGGGTTTGAGTGAGTTACATAAAAATGACAACATTTGGGAGCCATGTAAGAGCCATACATTACTACATGTTAGAGTATGCACAGAGAACAGATGGAAGGTGCCGGAAAGAACAATGTTGAGGGTTATCATCTTTTATGATCAAGTCCTTCAATTAGTTATTTTACTTACAATTACAATTTATCAATAGATGGCAATTGCCTTCTGGTAACATAATTATTGTTTTTGTAAGTGTCAGTCTATTGTTAAGTTGCCAAACAAGAACATGTTCCAACATTTAAAATTTCATTTGTATTACAAACATGAAAATATAACCTTATTGTGTATGCTAATATTCATGTCACAGATGTGATTGCATCAATTTATTACCATCTTTCAAGTAAATTTTTTGAACATATTTTGTTTTCTTCATAGTACAAGTTCCAAGAATATGTGTGTGAATTATGGTATTCTGAAAATGTACTCTAATGTGTATTTCAAAGGAAGCACATTTAACATAATATTGAAGAGGAAGACAGCATTTTGCTGATGGCAGTGTATTCTTGTTTTAATTTTAAATGAAAATTATTAAATTTTTTTATTAATTTTTAAAATATCTCAATTAACAGCAAATGAGTGCTTCTTGCTTATTTTAACATTTCCCACCTTCGAAGTAATACAATATTTAATATTAGGAAAGTTTTTTTTATAATTCCAAAGGTGTAAAAGATAAGTCAGAAAATTTTAGTGCAAATGCTTGTCAAATTACTTTCCTTCATATTTTTTCTCTCCATATTCAACATATTTTTTATACAGAAAATGTTTCTTTGCTATTATTATTTGATAAAACATTGATTGTCATTTTTTATAATAAGTAGCCCAATTTATCTCACTTGGAATCAAAGGCAAGAATGAAGTCATGCTAATATTTTTAAAATATATTACTTTATGAACACTTGTGCAGATGCACTATAACATTCTTTGAAGAGTTAGTGCATTGCACCTTGCCAGAGTGAGACACTGACCTCTGAAGCTGAAGTAGCTTGTGCCCAAACATTGCCATAATAAATTCACTGTGATACAATTTTAAGGATAATAGATTGGGTGTTGATAGAATTTTGGCTTGAACGCTAGAAATTATCAATGGCCATAGGACATTTTATTAAGGTGTTCGAATATTTGTGAAAAGTGTGAGCAGCTTCAGAACAGGTAGAATCAAAATTATTTATAAGATGTAGATAAGGTATGACAGTTATAAAAATAAAAAAAACTGAATGGGAGTTCACAGAGATGATATGGACTCTCAAGACTTGTCAGAGTTCATATCACAGATTAAAACAGAAAAATAGAGCTAGACCCTTAATTTGAATATTTAAATAAAACTTATACCAAAATTTTTCTCTGGACTAGGCTTTTAGATAGGAAGAGTCTCCTCCCATGTATATGATCATTTATTTGGTCATTATTCATTAATTTATTTGTTGTGTTGCACACAAATCTAAATTTGAATGCTTATACTTAATAAATATTTATATTAATCATTACTAATAATAATGATGTGTGATAATTTTAAAAATGAGTTGTTCTAATAGAAACAATACAAAAAAATTGTTATTTTCCCATTTCAAGTGTAAAATTCTCTTACACTTTCTGGAATGCATTTTTTTCTGTGTGGAAAAGAACATTAGGTTTGCCAACAAGGAAAATGGCAATGGTAACAAGAGAAGACTTTGATTTGTTTGATAAATGTAGATGAAACAGCTAATTGCAGTTTAGTAACTGCGGCAGTGATTCACTATCTCACAGTCATCAAATAGTATATACAGCTCTTCTCTAACAGCACACAACAAAGTGCATTTGTACATTAGTACAAGAGAGAACAAAGAGTATTATCATATATTCTACACATTCAGCCATTGAAGCTCTGTGTCTTACAGCATTACTGGGAGAAATCAATAGAGTGTCTGTTGTAGGAATCTTCAGTTCTCATATTTTAAAAACATAACTTGAAAGTAATCAAAACTTAATTTTTTATCTCCCAATTGTGTTTTGATGTTAGTACTCTATGGGTGTTAAAGACATACATAAGAGTTTAATACACACATTACTTGAAAGTAAATCTTCTAACATTTTTAATCACATTAATGATTCTTTATTTAAAGGTGTTTACGATGTATAAACATAATGTTCTCATGCATTGCTGTTCCTACTTTCTCCTAATAGAAACAGATGCAAGTTATGTAAGTAAAATAGGCAAGATCATTATTACCTATTCATTGGTAACAGGAAATGCGTAAAACACAACTTCGTGCACCGTATAATTAACAGAACTCTCTATGCAAGGTCCAGTCTTTATCTCGCCGTGCACTGCAAAAACAAAATAATTGCATCTTTAATCTATGCTCTTCTAAAAATATATGTATATGACATAATTAAAAAATAAATCATTTCTATGTGTGCCACGGCAGGTCGTGCATCTATATAAGCTCGCAGCGTTTTAAACTTGAGGTTACAACGGTGCAGTGTACGAACATCGGCTTCCCGTGCCGCCGCCGCCGCCTTCGCGGGCCCGCGCGCGTCACGACAGCCTGCCTGCCGCGGGGCCCGCGAAGGGCGCCAGGGGCAGCACGAGCAGGTTGCGCGTTGCGCGGCGCGGGCGGGGTGCGGGCCGGGGGCGCGGGCCGGCGGCGGTCGGCGCGGGCGGCGGCGGCCACGCTCAGCGCCAGCGGGACAGGCGGCGCGGGGCGCCGCGGGCGGAGGGCCGTGGCGGGGGGCCGTGGCGGGGCGAGGGCTGAGCGCGAGAGGGCGGGCGCGGGCGCGGGTTGCGGTGCCGGGAGCAGCTCCAGGTCACGCGCGTCAGCCTTGCGCCTTGCCGGCGGTGGAGTGCGGCGCCGCCGGAGTGCTGCGGCGTTTGCGGCGGGCGCCTTGGCGGCGGCGGGAGCGGCGGCTGTGCTGCTGCCAGGCCGCGCCCGCGCAAGTTCTGCGTCCCAATGCAAAAGAGCTGCGGTTAGGCGGCGCGCGACAGCCGCTTTGCAGCAGGGTTCGCTCAGCGTGGGCGCCCTCCGGTGCTGCAGGCGCCGCCCGCCGCCGCCCGGCCGGGCGCGGGCGGGCGGCGGCGCGGGCCGCGACAGTCGCTCGTGCCACTCGGCCAGCAAATCGCGCGCGGGCGGGGCTGGGCGGGGAGGCGGCGCGGGAGCGAGACGGGCGGGGGTGGGACAGCGACGGAGGGCGGGGTGGGGCGGCGGCGGGGGCGGGGGCGGGACAACGTCGTCGAGGATGGCGACGAGGAGGGGTTTCCGAAAGTTTCGAAGGGGTCCAGAGCTGCGGTGGGAGCCCGGGAAGAACGCGAAAGCTACCTACGGGGAAGACAAGGCACTGGCGGCGGGGTGACTACGGGAGCTGCCGGCGGGGTCCCAGTCAGGTCGTTGTGCCGCGAGGGTGACCTCCGCTCCGGCCGGTCGGCCGCGCAGCGGATCTTCCACCAGAAAGCGTCACTCGTCGTCCCCGAACTCTTCCCCCACTGTCCGCTGACCTTCCGGGGCGGCGTGCCTCACCTTTTTGCCGTCGTCTTTCGCCGCGATTCTTGGCGTCGCTCTTCTTGCGGCTTGGCTCCTTGGCGGGCGCCGGCGCCGCCTTGGAGAGCCTTGCTCCGTTGAGGCTGCCGGTGCGCCGCCCGCCGGCCGCCGCGCCGGGCGCCTTGGGCCGCGCGCTGGTTCGCCGCGCGGCCGCCGCGTCGGCCGGGCCCCCCGCGGCCGGCCCGCGGCCCCGCCCGCGCCCTTGCGCCGCGCGCCGGGGCGGTTCGGTCGCGCGCGGGCGCACGGACCGCTGCGCTCGTCGGCCCGCCGCCAGTTGCGCGTGTCGCCTGGGCGCTCTTTGGTGCTCACGGTGGTCCTGGACGCCCGAGCCGGGCGGCGTGGGGTCCTGGGCGGCGCCGGCGCCGGCCGGCGCCTATGGCGTCCGCGGGGTGCGCGTCCTTGACCGGCGTGGACGCACCCGACGACGCCTTGGAGCCGGCCTTGGAGCCAGGCTTGGACGTGGACTTCTGGCCGTCGCCCACCTTCTCCAGGCGCTGCTGCTCGCTCTCCACCTCGCGCACCAGCTTGTTGGCGGCGTTGTGCACCTCCTTCTCCGTGAACAGGCGCATCTTCTTGGACTTGTTCTTCTCGAGGTGGCGCGCCAGGTCTTCGATGAGGTCCACGATGATGGGGCCGATGTACGAGCTGCTCTTGGAGCTCTCCTTGCTGGACTTGTGGCCCTTCTTGGTGGCGTGCATGCGGTCCTTGCCGCCGCCGCCGCCGCCCGCGCCGCTGCCCGTGTTGCTGCTGCTGTGGCGGGTCTTGCTGGTGGTGGTGACGGCCCGCAGCGAGGGGTTGGCGGTGCCGTAGCGGTTGATGTTGCGCCCGCGCACCGCCAGCGCCATGCCCAGGTAGGGCGGCGGCGGGGGGATGTTCTGCTTGTACGCCATCTCGAAGCTGCCGGTGGGGGCGTGGCGGTTGTACCGACGATCGATCACCACTGGAACACGACCGTCGCGGATTCGCCGTTATTACGAACTAAACCTTCCTTTGTTTGGTTCGAAGTAACAAAGCTAAAGATAAACGATACAAAATTGTTCAAATCTTATACATTAGAGACAATGTTTGTTCATACTTAATGCGCTGCCGTACCGTTCAACTGATTGCGATAAAACTGTAAACTTATTGCTTGAGCTTCCGGGAAGAATATAGGCATAGTACGATGGGAATGTGCATATACCTGCACACATAGACGCGTGTTGATGATTTTATGAAGTAGGCCCTCACACAGAATGGCGCTCTCTACGCAACCCGTTACACACTTAAGTACGATTATTAAGACGTCTTCATTGCATATTTCCCCCCTGCGATTATGAAATTTCTCCCGCGAGAGACAGAGGAAGACAGAGTCGAAGAGAGAGAAACAAACAGAAACAGAGACATTGAGAAAGAGATAGACACAGAGAGGCGGAATACACGGAGAGAGAGAGAGAGAGAGAGAGAGAGAGAGAGAGAGAGAGACGGGGCACACTTGAGAAAAAGTCTTTCGTCTATTGAACGTTTTGCAAAGCGAAGCGTAAGACGTGATTAACTATCATGTGATTAGTAGCATGTGAAGTGTAATACATTGCAATAGCGATGCATTGCCGGGTCTACTAATTCACAATAGAAACTCAGGTTTTGTAGCTTGTAATATGTACTTCGAAGGAAATTACATTACGAACGTGTTCGGCAATCGAAGAACACTTCACTCTCAATTCGACTATCGCTAGAAGTGGGTGAGCAATGTTTGGCACTGTATTGTCCATTCGCGAAAGTGTGACACTTCAAATACTCATCAACGTGTGCAAAATATACGCTTTAAAACTAATAATCGTTAGTCAGGCGAAAAAGTGATGCTTTATTGCTAAAGCCAGTATTGTATGTCTCAAATATAGTTAACATTTATACCTATATTTATTTTTCGTGCGCATTTACGAACAAGTGCGTAATCTGCAGAAGTGGATTAATGCATCAGCAGTAAGCATTTGCTGAGGGCCCCTGCTAGATAGTGTCCCCCAATAATTGTTTAAACAAAGTTGTACATGTGTTCATAAAATGATTTAAAAAATAAATATTAGATTTTGAAATTGCTAAGGTTGCAATGTCATATTGATTACGAACATATATGTTCCCTATTTCAATACAATTATGGATAGCAATAGTGTGGTCGTGCTGAGGGCCTTTCGGGGGAGGGGCCCACCTTTGATGGTGTCCTCGAGGCACTGCGAGCAGAGCCTCGCCGTGACGCTGGTGGTGGGGGACATGCACGGGCAAGCGTTGATCTCGATGAGCCACGGCAGGAAGTCCTCTGTCACCATGAAGTCCGCCCCGAACAGCTCGAACGAGTTCTTCCGCTTCGCCATGTTGTCCTGCGAGGCGAGCAGCGCCCCCACGATGCTCTCTTTCATGCCCGGGTAGATCGTCTTGTCCCAGGCATCCGCGTGCCCGATGGCCCTGCCACATTTTAGAGGAGTTGCGTTACTTTTATAGCCTGTAGAGATATCATAAAATATCGAAAATGTGGCAATATATCAAAGAAAACACGTTTTCTTTATAGAAAAAGTTCATTTTTTATCAGTGTTAAGAGATTGTAATCATTGAAATATCTTAGTAAATTACAGTGCACAATAAACGGTATGATCGCTCGTGTAAACTTGCTTAACAGATTAACGGTCTATTAATTACTTTTTGTTATATTAATTAAATTTTTAAATTTCTTGAGACAACAATTGAGTTTCGGAAATGTCTTTGTGGACTGAAAACGGCTTCATATAAATTATTTTCGCAACAATTCATTCTCAATAATAACTATTTTGACGCGACGTTGCTTCTCTGAGTGATAACTAACCGCAGATAAGTTTTGAGTGTGTGGTTGTCCCACATGTTTTCGTCAGGCAGGGAAGGATCTCGTTTAGCATTCTTGTAGCGGCACTGCACTGCATTGTTGCAGAGATGTACAGACTCGTGTAGATTTTTCAAGGAGAAAGGACGCGAACAGAAGCGAATATAACTTTCTCTGGAACAGAAAATTCATCTTAATTATCTCAATCGAACTCTGAAAAGTTTTATCGCACATATCTTTCAGCCAATCCGGGCCACTGTAACATTTTCCGACGGTTCCGAATGATGTTGGCGGCACTGAGAGGGAGCCAAAGAAGTTGATTGAGCGTGGATGACTAACAGCTTATCGTCCTGTCCGTCACTGGTGGAATGCGTGACAGGGCGCACCGTTTCCATGACAACGCGACTTTGCGTGCCTCTTTTATGCTTCTTACTTCACTGTTACCAATTCCTTCTGAACTGTCCGGAGAGTTACAGCGCCCACAAGTTACGCACTTGTACATCCACACGGTGAGAGGGTGTGTAGATGTCACCAGAAACCACTGCCGGATATCGAATTTCGTTTCATGGATTAGCAGTGGTCGCTCTGTGAACAAAATAGTGAGAAAGCGTTAAGAATGATCGTGCTCTATACACGATTGAAAGTTTTCATTATATTGTAAGAGTGGTATGAAAATGACGTGTATCATGTTTTATCTATAATTACAAAATATTGCCAGACATACAACAGAATAAGATTGTTCAACAATTTTGACAAAACTGGCAATTTGTAGAAAACATGATTAAGAACCAGGCGATATACGAAATTTTTGGTAGAAAAAATATATTCGCGAATCTATCTTTTCAAAGACCTCTCTTTACTCCTGTCTCTCACTCAAGTCAATTTTCACAATTCATCATTTACCCATCAAGCTCAAAACGAAGAATGTTAATGTGAATTTTTAATACAGTAATTAGTCTCGATTGTGGCCACGACAGCTACATGGGATTTAATTGTCAAGATGTACTTATGTTGTACTTATAATTATGAGATAACGGGTACAAATAATCGCAAACTAGCGAAATATCAAACACATAAGTACGGGATATTGTTACTTTGTAAGTGAAGCGTCCTGCGACTCACTTGGCAACCACTTTCTGTTTGGCTAACTGGGACTGAAATACTACAAGGATTCTAGTATTTTCCTTTATTCTGATATCCAGAGTGATTATCAGTCTCAAAATACTGTGCAAGAAATATATGGATATTCTCAAGATTTATAGAAGGTTGTAGAGGCAGGCTAGCCAGCTCCTTTTGAGTACATCAATATGATGAAGGAACGCTCAAAATGCGCGCAGGTATCTCAAAGGATTTGCGAAAGAGAAAATATTCCAATGAATAAAACAGACGTAAAATTTCAATTACAATTACAACCTCATTTAGCGCAAGTGCATCACACGCATAACCCAGTTCGTCTTGACAAAAGGCAGACTGTTGTATTAGCAGGCCTTACGAAAGTCTGGAAACGCTCAAAGGACATTTTCTCAAAAGTGGCATCATTTTTTCTACGAAAATATGCTTACAAGACCAGATTTTCTTCTAAAATTTCTTCGAATATTATTCAATTTTACTATTAGGGGTCCGAAAAATTGAAAATCTGAGCTCCCACATCCTCAGGTACACCACTGGCTTTAATTCATTTTTAATAAGTTTCTAAAAAAAATTCCACGAATTCTGGTCATCTGTAGCCGATTTGGAAACGAAAAGCATTAAATGTAGAAATACTGAAATAAGCGGCTAAAAGTAAGAATAATATTTTCGGGTAACTCCAAGTCGTCTATGACCACTCGGTAGTGGTGAAAATATTATAGACATACAGTTACCGTACTTTGTAAATAAACATTTCATACTCTTAATGAGGAGAAAAAAAAGAAATCATTATTCAAAACAAAAATGTATTGATGATGTAATTTTTTATAGTGCGGCGTTCGTATGTACTGAAAAACAAAAAACAAGCAAACATGAATTAGTGTAAAATGTCGTGTGTTTTGCATCAACAATTCAGCATTATTCTTTATTGCTTAACTCACAAGGTTCAAAAGGGACCGATTAATTGAAATCTATTTTAATATTCAAATCCTGACATACGTTAAACGTTATGGATTGTAAAAATGAAAACAAATTAGTTTATGAATATTCAGTTCAAGCCCCAGAGCAGATTCATCTTGATACATGAAATAAGACATATGCGAGAAATCGCACGTACATTTTTTTATATAACATCCAGATTGCATTGCGACTTGTTCCTTCATTTAATGGCCTGAACATTTTCATTTTTCGATACTCATACACTTTCATTTGTCAATCATGCTGGAATGGCGGCTGCAGCCGATCATATCGCCTGAGTTGAAAGAAAATCTCAGATTGTGCGTCATGTTCTCAATATTTGCCCCAGATATGCTCCACTTCAACGCTGTGTTACTTGGGTTTACATTTCAGATAAGGAGTGGGCTACTGAAAGCTTTAAATTATCGAGAGTGAAATAAATTCGATCTTCTAGAAGTACTCCGAAAGATCACTTATCGATCGATCAAAAGTGTTACATCAAATTGCACTGCCGACAATTCAGTGGTTTAAGGTATATGAACCACTTCATTCATTAATTAAAATGATTCGAGTTCTTAAATATTAAACATTTCTCATTTATTTCTTATATTATTTTTGCTTGAGGTTTTTATGCTTTGCGTGAACACGAAGGGGATGAGTCTCCTGATAAAGAGAAATACGAATCATGAATAAGGGGAAAAACTCGCATACCAGCACCTAAATTGTCCTAACGAATCCTTTCTGACGCAGAGCGAAATGGATAAATGAAATAAAACGCAAAACTGCTTGGAAGACATTCAAATAAGATGGTTTAATTGTAACTTAAATCTTTCTTTGAACAATTTCTTTTATTTATTGAATTCGTTTCTAAAAGGACATTATTATATTATTATATTATGTATTATTATTATTATTATTTATTATTATTATTATTATTATTATTATTACAGGTGATGAGAGGTGAAAAGACTTAGGATGATGGGTAGGAGGTTTGTTAGGGTGGGATTAGTGGGAGGGTTGGAGGGTTGTGTTCGTTGAGTGATTTTTTTGGGAAAACCATCTAGCATTCCCCTTGTGATGGGGAAACCATGCAAAACCTTGGTCAGGAAGGTCCGCCTCGGAGATTGAACCGGAACCTCCCGGTGCGAATCCATCGCGTAACAGCCCTGATTCTTTCCGCTCGATTTGTTGTTTATTATTATTATTATTATGTATTATTATTATTATTATTATTATTATTATTTATTATTATTATTATTTATTATTGTTGCTGTATTATGTATTATTAGTATAATAATAATATGAACATCTGCTCATAGAGAACGCTCGGCGAGGGATATGGATGTTTCGTGACTAGCAAGCGCAATCTTTGGTTGGGAGCCCTGCTGAGTGTGATCTGTCTAGCAGCCGAGGCCCCTGGCGACGCTGGGCGCCGTGGTTCCCACGCACCGATGTACTTCTGCACGGACGTAGCGGCTCTCCCTTCATGACGGCGGGGCTGACCCTTGGCCAGCACGTGACTCCAGGGCGCTTGCACAGTTGATGCCCCGGGCCCGCGCAGCGGTTGCCCGGGCTTCATGATCCCACGTGTTGAGGTAGCCCCCCGGTCCAGCTGCCAGCTTGCGGCCAGTACTTGCCGCAGGTTGGCCAGCATTGCCCCTTGCACGGCGGGCGTACGGCCACCTGCGCAGCGCCATGGACGCGCCAACTACTAAGGCAGGGCTTTCTTCTTTGGATGTGGATCCGGCGCCGACCTACCGACGGCTAGAGGGGTTTTCTCGCAGTCTAGTATCTCCACCTGCAGGGGCACCGCCCCAGCGCGGAACAAGCTATCTCTCTCTT